TGTATGTATGTATGTATGTATGTATCCTTGCACTTCCCCTTTGCTCCCCAGACATGGGTTTTCCAGCGTTTTCGCAAACAGGACGTCCAAAAACATTGAGTTTTTCCAGATTTTGGGCAAAAGGATGCAGGAAGCCCAAGCCAGCAAAAAGGCCGGCAGGGGGAATCGAGCCTGGGACCAGGACGTCCAAAAACATTGAGTTTTTCCAGATTTTGGGCAAAAGGATGCAGGAAGCCCAAGCCAGCAAAAAGGCCGGCAGGGGGAATCGAGCCTGGGACCCCTGTTTTGCGACACCGGCTCCCCGAAGACTACGTTTAGTGGAACGTCATCAAATTGCCGAGCGGTACGTGGGGACCCCCCCCCCCCAAACCCCTACGTATTTGACGTCGGGCGGGGGGAGGTTAGGGGGGGGGGGGGGTTATCCTCTATCCTCTAGTAATAAGTATCCGACACGCCGAACAATGTCGGCGGACATGATAAAACCAGAGAGGGAGAGAGAGAGAGAGAGAGAACAAATAATCATACATCATCACAATAGCGCCTTGATAACCACAGAGTTTGTGACAATGTCAGGCACTGCAAGATGGGCAGCGCCTCGCAGTCCCCGCCCTGGTTTGTCTGCTTTTTGTCAAATTCGCAGTCGGCGCTTCCGGCGCTCCGGGCGGCGTGCCCCCGCGCGCGCGCGGCTGGGAGCGGCTGCTTTCGAGGCGCGCCACGGTGGGCATTGTGGCCGGCAGCGCGGCTGGGCGCCCAGTCATGAATCTTTGGCAAGAGATGGTGGTGATTTGAATAGTTTGGTTTGATCAAGAGATGGTTTGGCATCGGGTGGTGGTTTTTTGGCCAGGTGAAGTTAGCATGCTTGCGGCATCCGAGCTTGAGGTCGTTGCGTCCCTCACCTCGAACCTTGGGCAGGCGGGTCTGGCGGTTGACGGCAAGCTGCCAGTCTGAAGTCATGCTAGGTGAATGTGATCAGCGGCGCGTCCCAAGTTGCAGTGCCCGACGCTAAGTGTTGTGCGGTGTCCCTTGCGCCTCGGGGTTGGAGCCTTTGGTCTCCTGGTCTCCTCGACGGCCTATCCGGGCGCGAGCGAGCCGCCAGGTTTGTTGCTGCAGCGCCTGGGCTGACGGGTTTGTTCCTTTTGAAAGGCGGCAGGGGCACCTAGGCTGCTACCTGCCAACCCGCAACCCGGACCTCTCGAGTCGATGTTGGGAAAGGGCGGCTTAGGTGCAACATGGCGTGCGTGCATGCTGATGATGATGGCCGCCGGCGTCATGGTCAGCGCCCATGCGAGTTTTGCGGCATGGCCCGCGGCTTGCTGTTTGCTTCACCGCCGGAGGTCTCAATCGCAGGAGTTGCCTACACGGACAACTTCGTGGGAGAGCTTCAGGCGCGGCAGCGAGCTCATGAGACTTTTGTGGACACATTTCTTGGCCAGCCGCCGATTGCATGCGCAGTGCCATGGATAGGCAGGTTAGGAGCGCTGCAAACTATGTTTTCAAGCGCCCGGAGGATACCTGCCACTGGGCAACGCCTAGGGCTGTGGGTTGAGCTCTGCCCTTTTGCGAAAGGGAGCTGGAGCCGCGCACGTGTGAGCATCGTTTGGGGATGTGGGACATCTATTTGAAAGAGAATTCGTGATTGCACTAAGATGACCTACACATGTCTCCTCCGCAGATAGTGCTCGGGACTCCGCTGAGAGTAGCCATGCATGCTTGCCTCTCGCCTTTTCAGGAGTGCCAGTTTCACCAGCCCGCATGCACGGGGGGCACCTGGAACTCTTCTCCCTAGGAGCCACGCGTGGTTCCTGCCGCTGGTGTCCTGTGCCGATGGCGTCTCTGAGGCGGGGCCTTTTTATTTTGGCATCGCTGGCCCAGCTGGCTGGGCCAGTCTTCTACGCCCGCCTGCTCGCTCAGATCGAGAACTGCATCTTCAACTTGGTGGAGTGCGGCGGCCTTAGGTCAATTCGTATGGGCGTCGAGCTGTGGGGTGTGCTGGGAAAGAGAAGCCGTTTGGTCTTCTCCCTTGACTGCCGGGTGGTATCCTTTCTCTTCCTCTTCGCTGATCATGTGCAAGAGACGTTCAACCTCCAAACAAGTCAGCGAGGCATTCAGAGCTCAGCAGTTCAGATATCTTGTGTTAGCTTCAGGCAATCCCAAGCCCTGCATCAATGTGCGAAAGAGAGGGAGGAAGTCAAAAGGACTGGGGGAGCAGCAAGGAAGGGATGGGAACTCCAGCGTATGTTGTGCCAGGTTAGTTTTTTTACGTGCCTTGTTTCTGGGATCGCTTTTAATTGAAAGAGTGCCGACACGGAAGAAATGACAAGGCACCATCCCAACAGCTGCCAGGTGACAAGACCCTTGTAAACTCGTCCTCTCACTCTCCTCCTTCTCCTCTTCCTCCTCCTCTTTTCTTCTCTTACATCTGGAGACTAACAAAAGTCTAAAATAAATGCATGAGAGAGGTGAGGAATCATCCAGCGACAAGAGATCGAAGAGAGAAAGAGACAGAGAGAGGGATTCAGGGGGAGAGAGAGAGAGAGAGAGAGCGAGCCAGAACATAGAAAAGAAGCAAGAGAGAGCCATGTTTGGACATCAGTTCATCCTTATGTTCACCCATCATCTTTTCCTGGGAGCTAACGTATTGGGTCACAATTGCAAAGCTAGGGTAGAGGATCAACTCCCCGAGCCATCCAAGCCACCCATCAGAGCCAAGGTATGAGCTCTCCTTGGCTATCCACAAGCAACGGCTGCAGATAAGCAACAGGCCTATATATGGGGGTTGATCAAAAGGTCCTCCCACATGGGATAATCATTTGGGAAAAGCAGTAAAAAGATGATGCTTCCCACTAAATAGGAAAAGTTACCCTTGGCCATTTCTTTGACTAGCAGATTTGACGTTAAAAGACATGTGACATCTTAAAGATTCGATATCCGCGTCCTAACGCTTGCACGTGACAATGGCATGAGCATCAGAAAGAAGTTTCCATTCATCTTACGGCTGCTTTCGTGTCAGAACATCGTGAACCAACTATACTATGTTGACAGTGATCATGCTGGATCTCGGCTCGGAAGTACCCAGCCACCTTGTCCGAATTGAGAACCAAGGCTTGAACCTGGTGTCAGACGATGAAGTTTGGGCCCTTGGCACCAAATGTCTTGCTTTGGGACTCAGACGTTTCGAGGTGCAACAAGAAGCCTTGGCGACGAAACTTCTGCAGAGCTGGCTTCAGAGCGCCTCAGCTCAGGCGGGGGGAATGGTTCCGATGTACTGAAGGATGCCCCAGGAGCCAGCAGCGATAGTCCTGTGCAAAAGTGCCAAGGGTTGCCCGCTCAGCCGTAGCCTGTAACCTCAAAGGGATCACTGGCAATGCTAAACCCCTTTCCCAGTGGCTTCTCACGCCGTTGTCCTGTTTGCGAGTGAGGAGGAAGACAACGGCCCGTGCCCAGCTCATTTCGGTGACCGCAGAATGGAAGGGGGCAGAAGCGGCCGGTTGCCGAGGCTCCGGGCGGCAGCTCTGGCGCATGTGATGGACCTGGCCGAAGCGGCCTCGAGCCATCCGGTGCTCGAACCGCTGGCGGGTTTGAAAAGTTCTGGTCGCGTTGGAGGGGTTCAGGCAGCCTCGTCCCTAAGATCGAAAGCCGCCACATTTTTGGATGCTGCCGGCTTTGACAAGGGGCTGCCGGTCAACAAAGCCAGCAAAAGGACAAGTTGCAAGCATGCACGAATGATCTAAGCTCAGACTCACGGCATATTTAAGCGGGTAAAAGAAAAGGCCCAGAGCATGTTTGCAAGCACTCAAGCAGTTGCGGGTTTCGCAAGGACGGTTCAAGTCATGTTTGCACCTGGACGTATGTGTGGCCTGTGTGGCCCAGTGCCTGCCGCAACTCGCAGGTGTCGGTTTCGCCCGACAGACTGGCGCCCGAGTGGGCACCTTTGACATTGCCAGGCGCTGGGTGTGGGTCAAGCCCTCCACTCCTTCTTTTGGTGGGGCGTCCGGCCTGGCGCTCGGGAATGATTCGGAGGGCTTGCTGGCTTGCACCCCTGGAAGACACATATTTTCGCAGGTTTTCCCTTTTGAAGCTACAGGAAGCAACCTGAAGCTTGGCAATGGTTGATTGGGTCACTTGTAGCTTCCCGTTGGAGCTTTTGGCACCAATTTGGCATGGGCCAAGCACGATCTTGAAGCGCGATGCGGGTTTGCTTCGGGGCGGGGTTCGGCATTTTTTAAGCAAAGCCAACTGGCAGTTCCAGAAAACAGGCAAGGTGGAGCAGTACCTCTGGGCAACTAGCCAGACATGGAAAAGCAGCGACAGATGCGGCACGCGTGGTCGTTGGACCATTGCAGCTGTTCAGGGCAGCGCTGTGCAAGTACAAGTCGAGTGAAATCGTTGCCGAGACATCAAGAAAAGCAACAATCCGTCGACGCGTTTCGGAAAACATTCCCGTGTGGGCGCAACAGAGGCTGGAATAAATTCTTGGCTACTGTAGCATCGCCGGAGGCCACAGCCGCAGCCTTCGAGCAAACTGGCACCACCTGACGTGCAGGCACGTTTCATGCTTGCATGATATGTATGAGTTTGAGAACCTGTTTTTGGGTGGTTTTAAAGCATCTTTTTTGGGGGGGCCCTAGCAAAGGCACACTCGTGTGAACATATAACTTCATTGCGGACCAAGTATGCAGGTTGCCCGCGCAGCTCTGACATTGCATGAGCAGGCGGTGACATTTGCAGGCCGCGACTGTTGAGCTGTTTGATGTTCATGTGGCCAGTGACAGGCTGCGATATTATCGACCTTGAGCTCGACACCTTCCTTGCCAGGCGCGAGACGTGTGCTTCCCAAAGACCACCTGTGCAAAAGCAAGCAAGCAACCTGAACAAGGGTCTCTGGCAGAGCGAATCTGAATTCCAGGTCCTTTTCAGGTTTGATGATCTTGTTTGGGGTACCTAGTTCAGCAGCAGCGGTTTGATATGAACCAGCTTCACAATATCCTGGCCAATCAGCCCCCGGGACCCATGCTCGTCAAGAACCTAAGGAAGAGTGTCCCGATGCGCGTGGTGCAGACAACAAACTTTCTGGGGGTCACGGTAGCGTAGTTTGCACATTTTGCTACAACCTGATCGCGCACTTTCTTCAGACCATCTGCGTCCTGAGAGTGCGCTGCACCAGCAGGATGCCCATGAATAGCGCCAGATTGTGGCATGAGCAATTGTCATGCAAGCATGCGTGGAACACTCTGTCATCATGCATTTGCCAAGCGCTTTCGGTTCACTCGCCGTGTTTCACGCAGGCGAGATCCCGGGTCAGCATTCTTGCGAGGCATTACCCGCTGCTCGCTGGCAAGGCAACCAAGACCAGCCTACAACAACCGCTTGCCAGCGCATTGCCGGTACAAAATATTTGGACGGCAACGCATGCGCCACAGTCAGCATGCACCTTCACCTTTGCACTGTCACCTGGCGTTCTCCTCACTGCATTGGAACTCACATCATTGCTTGCGTCACTGTTGCGCACGCGCGCGCGCGCGTGCGCAAGCACACAGTCGTGTCTTGTTGAGCATGCTTCTTACCAGCGGTTTCTCGCATTGCATGAGTTGGTCTTTGGTATTTGTACCCTCTTTTTTTGGGGGGGATTGTCTTGCATTCGCTTGGTTTTTGGGGTTGCATTTTTTTTGGATGGCGCTGACGGGGAAACCAAAAAGGAACTTGCCCAAAAAAAGGAAGTGCCCCTGGCGCTGGCGCTTCGCCTTTCTCATCGGCTCGGAGCTTGGGTCGCTTGGTCGCCAGTGACGCCGGGTGTTTCTTGCTGGGGCTGGAAGCTTTTGGTTTGCCCAAGGCTGGGAAGGAAACAACAAGAGCAACATTGTTGTTTGCCATGAGGGCTTCTCATCCCATTTCGATACCTGGCGATCTTGGGCATAAATACCCTGGGGTCAGCAACCGCGCAATTGCTATTTGCCCCAGAGCAAGCGGGCAACTAGGCTGGAACTGGCTCTTGCTCAGCAGGAGCTTTGTCGAGGGCTTTGGCCGAACTTGCGGTGGTTCGTAGTGCCGCGGTTGGAAGTGACCAGCATCGGTTTGATAGGACTTTGCTGCTGCGGCTGCAACCTTCTCCCACCTGCACGCGCGGTTTGGTTCATTGCCGCCTCCTCAACTTTCAAGAAACCATGTCGAGCAGAACTTTCAACATGTGCCCGTGGCAGGCACTTGACTTTGGTTCTTGTCATGAACGGGCGTGACGTCAACAGGCAGCGCTTGCCCCACTTTGCCGGCAGCAAGCAAAGAAGCCCAATGCGCCTCAATCAGCTCTGACCTCACTTGATCAGTTTGACGGATTTTGAGCATCTCATCGATTGCACCAGGATCGTTCAGCTAGTCAAGTTGTTTAGGGGGTTTCGAGGGGTTTTATATGACATAATATCTTTGCTGCACTACCATGTTTCAGGGCAGGGCAGCCCGCACCCAACCACCCTGGCCGCTCGCCATTGCGCGTTGGGATCGTTTTGTTGACCTGAAAGGGATATCTCGGTTCACAGGTTGCAGAAACAAATGGAGCATTTCATCTCGCAGCGGCGAGATGTTGATCAGCCGTGTTAACCCTGCTCAGGAACTGGGACTTTTTCCCAGCCGGCTGCCCATGTTTCGCCGAAGACCCCCGTTGGCGAGTCAGCCGCCAAGGCCGCAGACCAGTACCCCATTTGGCCTCGCAATCGGTGGCCTCCCTTCGGTGAATTCGTGGAAAGGCGGGTCAGCCGGGTGTTGGGTCGTGGAAACATGTCGCTCGCGTGCCCGTTAGATAACTTTTTACCAGTGTACCTTTGAATATGTTTTTCAGCCAACGCCTCATTCAGCTTCTGATGGTTGGCTTCTGACAGGCACTACGACATCTTCAAGGCTGGTTTGGAGGCAGGCTGCCCAGGCGTCACTTTCACGGCCCCGGGCTGCGCTTTGCGCTCGGCGCATTTAGGCGTTCCTCCAGGACGACCCGGGGCGGCACTTCGGCGCAGGGCCCAAAACGGCAGCCCTCGGCTCTTGCGACGCGTGCGCCGAGCCGCACCTGGCGAAGGTGCTGCCGCCCGATTCCAAAGCGGGTTGACCCCGAGGCGCGCGGATCTTTTCACAGGGCCCGAGAGGTGCGAAACTGATCAGGAGCCAGGACTGGGCCCGCATCAAGCTAATCCACAGCGGAGGACAGGAAGTAGACAAAGCTGAAGGGCCTTGAAGGGAGCATGGTTCGTGCCTGGAGGACAGTCAGAGCTATGCAAGCTGCCTTACCTCAAGCGCAGCTGTGAGTTGCTGGCGGACCGGCCAGAGATAGGGCCCAGATGTGGCACCTACTTGCCCAGAGCTCAGCGATGTGCCGCCCTGAAATCCCCACAAAGTAGTTGCTTCACCTCCCTTCGGAAGCCAGCCAGACAGAGCCCCCTTGGCTTTCATCAAGCCGGGCTTCGGAGTGAATAGCAGCGGGGGACCAGGTCAGGAGCCTCAATAGCTCGCCTGCTGCCATCTGCGCAGCTGAAGCCCCACCTAGGTCTGGAACCTAGGAGTCTTCCTCGCGTTGTTGGTTTTTGACGGGCTGCGGAAGTAAGGCACGCACCCCCGGCTGACGCTGCAGTTAGGCCTTCGCGCGCCAAGCGGGGCGACCCTGACGGTGGCAGGAGAGGAGGCGGACCGTTTGCGTGCGAGCCCAGCCATAGCAAGAGTTGGACACGCGGCGTATATCAGAAGGTTGGTGTTTTGTTGGTTGGGCAGGGTTCTGGTTGGAGGTTGGATGCGCAGGCTTCTTGCCTCAGGTAGCTTGGACTGAGGGGAAGGTCATCATCTTCGATGTCAGCTACTCATCAAGGGGCGTCAGAAGGCATCAGGTATCAGATGGAAGGTTCTCAAGTGGTGGCCGTCCTTGGATGGTTTTGAAGGGAAACCTGGGGCCCGGGCGCAAGGACACCTACATGCACAAGGTGCAGCATCGAGGTGAGGAGACTCGGTATGCCGCTTGGCATTCTTGAACCACGAGCCACCCCGTGGCTCGCGATGCAGCTTTGTGAATCAGACCCTGCAGGCAGCTAGGAGGACTTGTTGATGAGCATCATTATGGAATCAAAATTTGCATATAATATCATATCAGAGCTCACCACGATTAAGCACCAGGCGGCATAATCTGTCAGGTTCCTTGGGACCCGCTTTTTCGCTAGTTCCGCCGAGGTCTTGGTGGCCTGGTTCTGCCACCCCTGCGACAATGGTTGGCGCCAGGCACTGGTCGGATACACGGCGCTCCGGTGCCCCGCGTCAAAGGCTGGCGGGTGTTCCAATGCCAGGGGCAGGGCGAGCAATGGCTCGCGGAGAATCCGCTGCCTGAGTGGTCAGCCGCTCAATGCCGGGCATTCCACCAGGGTTCCACAAGGGTTCCGCGAGGTTCCGCGAGGGCTGCGGGGTGGTGCGAGCACTAAAGAGAGCACCGCATGCTGTTGGGGATATCACCTGAGCTTATACTTTCTTGGAGGGACGTTCCAAAAAGCGAGGGTGTGTTGTTCATGAGGATTTTCAGATTGGCTTCCTGCCAATCTGAACCAAACAGTGGCCTGTTCTTAGACCCGCTCTTTTTCGCGCCGAACCGCGTTTGCGCTGTTTGATGGAGATTTGGCTTTTGCTGCTGCGAGTATGTGAGGTGTGGTGGTGGCGGGGGAGGATACAGCGCGCCACCTGTGCCGGGATACTCTGAGCCAATTTGAAGCCAAAGGGGCGAAAAGCTGGTTCATGTGCGTGATTTGATGCTCCACTTTGCAAGGGGCACACATTCAGATCTTGAGCCTGCAATGGCTGCCGTCATGGCTGAAGCAGCCCCCCTGCACTAGAAGCAAGCCAAGAGTCATACTTGATGATTTGTAGTGCCAGGCAGTGCCTTCTTGGTACTTGCATTCAGCAAAAAAGCGAAGACGCAGCGTTCACTCAGCCAAGCATTGGCTGCAACCCCCATGGCGGGCCAGCCGCGACCTTGAGTCCAAGGCCATGTGGGGCAGGGGGGCCATCGGCTGTTGCCTCTGCGTAGGAAGCAGGCACCAGGCCCCAAGCGTCCCAAGAGGGAAGGTTTGGCCCGGAGTTGCCTTCTAGAACAGGCTGTGGGGCAAACCATTTTGGGGTAGGTGCACCACTCATTTTAGAACCTATTTTAGTGGGGATTGGGATGTTCACTGGGGGCTAGCCGGGCTTTTGACTGGCCATGACATGATCAGTTTTCGCCCCCCTCACTGCATGCCTTCCTCATGCCAGGCGCGGCCGAATGGCCTCCAAGGGCTCCGGCCGCCTGTCAAATGTTCGTCGGTTCCCCCCCCCCCTCCCCCGGCCCCCGGGCCCCCGGGCCCCGGGTTCATTTCCGCACCTCCACTATGCAGAGTTTCCTGACCCAGGAGCCAAAGGCCAAGTCATGCCGGGCAAAAGCTCGTCCCGTGGTACCTTGACTGCCTTGGCCGGTTGAATGGGGTTCTCCTCTGCATTTTGTCCTTGAATGTTTCAAACGGGGTCCGGCTGGTGATGCTGGGGACGTTTCCGGCCCTTCGCAAAACCTTCCTAGGAAAAACCCAGCCCTAGGAAAAACCCGGCCCTAGGAGAAAACAACCAGCCCTGGGCAAAACCAGCCCTAGGAAAAAACCAGCCCTAGGGAAAAACCAGCCCTAGGAAAGCACACTCAATACCTCTACCGTCCCAAGCGGCTGGGGTTGATTCATTTTTTGCCCCGAGGCTTCAGCCGGCCCAGCAGCCGCGCGGACGAGGCGCGGCTTTCCGGCGCCGGGCGCTTCGTGGTGGGCCGCAGCGACGCGCTGAAGTCGGCCTACTGCGGCGACAAGGGCAACGTGTCCCGCTGCGCCTCGGTGCCCTGGAGCGTGCTGCTGGACAAGGTGGCTGTGGTCAAAGCCGTTTTGGGATCCCATTTTGGTGGTAGGTGAATTCACCACCCATTTTAGAACCTATTTTGGTGGGCGTTGGGATGTTCACTGGGGGTACGATTTGGGTTTTGACCCATGTCCAGGTGGACACCGGCTGCTTCAGGGACAGCCCCAAGAACCCCGTCTTCGAGGGCTACGAAGAAAGCAGCTGGCTGTGCGAGGTGAACTGCTCTCTGGGCTCGGTGCAGGCTGAGAAGCCGGATGCTCTGCGACAGTGGTACCTGCGATGGCAGCAGCAGCAGCGGACGATGCAAACCAAGGGCCCTGTGACTTCATCGATTCAACTGAAGCCTACCCGCGGCGAGCTTACTTGTCTTAAGCCGACACGTCTTTGAACCACAACTTGTTCATGTTGAGCCATGGTCAGAAAGGATAGACTTTTTCTACCCAGCTCATTCGGGCAAGCGAGTCGCCTGCGCCGAGGTGTGAAGGGCCTGGATGCGCCCAAGCAGGAGTGGTGCAGGCTGAGCATCAAGTCCAGACGGACCATCCAGCAGTGGATTTCAGGACGGCCGCAAATCGATGGGAACTGAGACTGCGATTTTCGCAAGTCTGGCATGGCACAGGCTTTCGGGTAGAACACACATCACAGCAACTCCCAACAAATTCACCGCAGAAGCGTCCCGAGCACCAAATCGAAGGAGACATTGGGGGCCGGCATTGCCTGATGCTGTTGGAGCACGATGCTGCCATTGACTTCTTCATCTCCCCGCTAGATCACAAGGAGGGGCTTCGGCGACTTGAGGATTTTGCAAGTTGACTTTTTGCTCGGGGCGGTTACTTTTCGGTTCGCTTGAGGCAGGCGAGACCGCGAGCCATAGAAATCAAAAAGGGCGTTTTGTCCTGAAGGAAATGTCAGCGTCCGACGTGGGCTCTGGCGGTGCGCTGTGCGCGCTGTCTGGCCTTCCACTAGAAGCCGAGGGCAGCAGGGAAGGAGGTTGGCTTTATAGAGAAGTCAGCACCTCAGCGTCAGGCGCAGCTGGGAGCATGGCCTGGGGCCACATTCCGCACGTCAGGTCTTTGCCAAGAGTCCAGTGGATGTCTTGGACGACGCGCTGCATGCGGCACTGGATGGAGGTGCTGGAGATGTCAAAAGCCAGAGTGCAGATCAGGCTGGCCAAGCCCAAAACCATTCAGAGACTCAGATTGGGCCGTGTGCGACAGGTGAATCTGGCCTTGCGGCGGCTGGCCATGTCTGCGCAAGCCAGCGGTATGCAATCCCTCCTCGCCAGCCGAAGGGAGCCAGATGGGCCACTTCCTGAGACGGGTTTTACTCTGCACGCAGGGCTCATGGCTCACGTGGCTCACGGCGCGGATTGGGCAGGCCCAGATGCTCTGACGAGTACATGAGGACACAAATTCGTGTGGTATCGTGCGGTTGTTTCATTTTTATTTTTCGACGGGTGCTTCTTACTTCTAGCCGAGGATTCAGGTGTGGCTGGAAGTGGTCCGGCACCATGTGGCCGAGCAAGCAAAAGGACAGGCCCTATTGGGCTCACGCCATGTGCGGTGGCCAGCACTCGAGATAAGTTGCAGGACAGGCTGTGCTCGTCGCCAACGCGAGGTCCAAGGTTCCGGCCAACGGCAAGTGAGTTTCCTAGACTTGGACACTGCAAATAGTTCATTTTTGTTTCACCCGGCCCAGTTCCAAAATGAAGTCTCCAATATTTGGCAATCCCTGGAAGGCTGACTGGGGTGTCACTAAAAAGTCTTTGTGCAGGCACGCCCAAAGCGGCTGCCAAGCGAAGTGAGCAACCAGCTCTGGGATGACAGGCCCGGGGCGGCAGCAAATGGCGATGTCGTCGCCTTTCCATTGCAAGGCAGTTCCTCAAAGATTTGGAGAAGCCAGACTCGGAGATCAAAGCAACAGCTGCGCGAATGAACTTCGAGCAACTCTGCAGGCAGAACCAGCCCTGGTCTCAGCATGCCAGTTGCCAAGGTCGGCTGCTTTCTGGTGGTGTCTGGTGCTGCCAAGGTCGATGGAGACCTACATGATGCGCGTGGTGCGTTCGCGGCTGAGAACTCTGGGTCGCCTTCTTTGAGGCACCTTCTTGCGATTTCTTGCGCCTTTTCTTGGCTTAGGCCAGCGGGATTACTTGAAGCACATGATGCGCCGCGTCTGCAAACAGACGCCGGCCGAAGCGCAAAGCGCTTTTCGCGCGCGCGCGCGCGCGCGCGCTGAAACCCCGGCTCATCTGAGGAGCCTGGCAGACGAGTGCGCTTCTTACGGCGTGCTGGGCCTGGAAGGCCCCGGTGCCACACACGACGAGATCAAGAAAGCGTATCGAGCCTTGACGTTGAAGGCCCCCTTTGGTGTGGGTTCCCAAGACACGACGTTTTGTGTTTTTTGTTTTTCTTTTTTTTGGGGGGGGGCGGCCCATCTTGTTGTGGGTTCCCAAGACAGGCTTTTTTTTCACTTAGGTGCAGCTCCCTCCGGCATGCTTGAAATCTTAATCAGTCGCACGCAGACGCAAGCGTGCACGCATCAGTTCTGCATTCTGCACTTGTGACACTTCTTCTTGGCTTGTTCAGAGTTCAAGTGGCAGTGCCTTCATGTGGCATCTCTTGGATGTGTAAGGCGCGCTGGCCCTCAAGGAGCATCCAGACAAGGCCTTTCGGGTTGCATTCTGCTTCTGGCGCGCGGCAGCACCAAGCAGCTTGGGTTCCCTGCGAATGCCACATGTGGGCCTGCACGTCCCCATCACAGGCTGGCATTGAGAACAAGGAGAGGTTCCAGGAGATCCAGGAGGCCAGGTCCACAAGCGCCTGCTTGCGGCGGAATCCGGTCGACTCGCTGCCAGGCCTACGCGGCGGTGCTGAAGCGCAGCAAGTCGGATGGTCAAGGGAAAGGAGAGGCGCCACAGAACACCTCCCTGCCGGCCAACGGCTTCACCAAGGAGCAGGGCTGATGTGTTGGCTGTTTGTAGGAATTGGACCCCCAAAATGGTGGCTTTCCTTGTGGTGGTTTTCGCCTTGCAGCCGCAAAAAAAAAAAGCGGGGACCCTCAAAACAGACACAATCCTATCAGGGGTCAAAAAGATCGAGGGTCTCCAAGCGAGCCAGCTAGTGGTTTGAGGTGCAAGCGCAGAACAAAACCAACCCGGGCACGTCTTGAGTTTCCCTGAGGAAGCCGTCCTCTTCGCTGAGCAGGTCAAGGATGCCGCAGACGAGGTGGCGGCGCTGGCCTGCCGTTCCAACCATTTGTGCACCAGGGCGGTGGAAGCGCGCGGCCAGCAGATGCCCGGCACAAATAGATGGGTTCAGCCAGCATACAAGTTGTCAGCCTACAGCTCTACAGCTCCGGCTGATTCAAAAAATCCCTTTGTACATTGTGGTGCGGGTGATTATTCAGATCAATGCTTCCGGAAACTTGGAGCTAGGGATGCCCGCATGTGTGTGTGTGTGTGTGTGGGTGTGTGGGCGCGCAGGAGCTTTTGTGTGGGTTTTTGTGGACATCTCGTCGCTTCCCTGCTGACATTTCTCCGTTCCTTTTGGACCTCCTGAAAAGCTCCCCGGAGGTGTGGGGAGGCTGTTCCCAACATACAACCTCTGGTTTGATAGAGTTCCACAAGTGGAAGCTGTTTCCGGTTCACTGGCTTTCAAAATCCAGGCCACAAATCCAACAGGAAGCTAGAAGCAACCACGAAAAGCAACCACGAAAAGAGCTGCCATCAAAAAGAGATTCTGGAGATTTGGAATGCGCTACTTTTTTCCTTTTTTTTATTTTTCCCCCCTTTTTTGTACTTGCTTTTGTGGCCGGCTGGATACAAATAAGCCCCTGCTTCCTGTAGGGGGCAAGCGGGACACCCCCTTAACCACTGCTTTGTTTCCGGCTGGCTGGAGTAACAAGAAACCATGGCCCGTTTTCATCAACCTGGTTTCTAGCCCTCTTTCCTTTCTTGCCTTTGTCTTCCCGGCGCGGCGTTTTAAGCGGCAGTCGTCCGCTGAGAAAAACAAAAACCGACAACCAAAAAGCGACCGACCACCGACTCCCGAACCTCCCCGCTGGGAGTATCTGGGAGTTGTAGGAAGCACAGGTGTCCCTTTTGGTTGTTTTGGCCGAAAAATAGATCGCGATTCCTGGTGTACCTGGTGGTTTACTATTTTTTACCAGGGAACCCACCTAAAGGGGACAGCGTCTAGGAAGCGGGCGGCGCTGCGGGAGCTGATGGACGTGACCCGCTGCGGGGCCAAGATGCTGCAGAGCTGCGGGGCCCTGATGCGGCAGCTGCGGACCGGCAGCTGCGAGGTGGCCTGCGCCGCCGTGCAGGCGCTGCAGGCGCGCCAGGGGCGGAGGGGGCGGGGCCCCCCCCCGTGGAGTTTTTTGGGTTTTTGCGCCGGAGGGTGCGAGAGATGGGGGATGTGGTTGAAGGAGGCCCGAACTAAAGCACCCAACTGGTTTCCCTAGTTACTCCAGATGTATTTTGCCAGTTGGCATGTGCTGCAGGTTTTTCATTTGCGAATAGTTGTATACCAGTGTTCCGGTTGCTAGCCAAAACTGGCTGGTCGCTGGTCTTCCTTGCGAGCTCCCTTCTCTCACAGAGCACTTTGTGGTAGCTGAAGTCAGTGGTTGCGGGAGCTTGGGCGAGTCGTGATGGGAATGCCATTCCCTTGAGTCTCGCTGCCGGCTGCCCAGTGTGCCCCCACGCCAGTGGGACGGATTGTGATGGCATGCGGGAGAGAGAGGGAGAGAGAGAGAACTGGTTTCCCTTTAAGGGGAATGTGGTTGAATGAACCTGGGGCTTCCAACTCAAAGGCAACCAGTTGGCCGGTTTATGGGGGTCATTCCCTCACTCCCTGCTGGGCACCAGCATTTTTTCGTTTTTTTTTGGCACGAAAAAAGCCGGTGGCAGCGCGCTTGGCGCGGCACAAGGGGAAGTGTTTCTGGTTTGTGTTTTTGTTTGTGGTTTTTTGTTTTTTGCATCTTCCATTAGGGTGATGTGTCAAGCGAAATCAAAAGAAGAGCACTGGGACGTGCTGTTTTGTGGGACACATGGGCCGGAGTGTTTGTTACTCATCCACATCTGAGAGCCGTGCTTGTCATCATATAAGCCTTTTTTGGTATTCAGGCCAGCCGTCGACAAGGAGATCACCACCCCTACTTCACTACACGCATTACTCTTCTCTCTCTCTCTCTCTCGCTCTCGCTGTGCATCCATTTGAGGGAGGAAGGCCTTGGGTTGGGCCGGGGAGTGGGCGCTGGGGCAGAGATTCGACGGGCGCAGGAGTACGGGTCCTGGGCCGCCAGCATCATGTCGGGCGTGGGCCTCGAAGAGCGGGGGGACGTGGTGAAGGCGGCTGGCCTGTCCTGCGCCATCACGGCGGACCACCTGGACGAGATGGCGGCGAACGACGAGAATATGGTTTGCACCTCAAGCGCTGATCTAGTCTCACACCTACATGAACACACACGCACGCGTATGTATAGGCGTGCACCGGACTGTAGATAAACATATGTCATATGTGTTGTGTCTCCGTGTTGTGTGTGTGTGTGTTTTTATCCATGGGATTCGTATGTGTCATAGGGAAGGGGAGGTGATAGATGGCGTGCCAGTGCAGGCCAGCGTATGTTGCCGGTCCAAGTGGCAATGCCTGTACGCTGCTATATTTTGGGTGCCGCTAGTGTTGCAGAATGCCGGCGCAGGGCTTTGGTGCAAGGTAATTTCTGCCAGTGCCGCAAGGGTGCTGTTGTTTCCAGGCTTGTTTTTTCCAAACTTTGTCGCTTGAGAATTGAGGTTCCTTCCCAAGACTTGCCCGTGGTGTCTTGACCTTTCGTACTGCATGTTTGGATTCGGAGCGATCCTAAAGTTCCCATTGTTACACAGGTTGCTAGGAAGTCCGCCTGCGGCGCTCATTCATGGAGGGGCAGGCTACCAAAAAGCAGAACTGCAAAATGATCGCGTTCAGGGTGGGGCGTTCCTTCCGCCAGTGAAATCCCAGGCCGCAATGCAAAAGACCTTTGCTTGCATATTTCCACACAATGTGGGGGATTGCGTTATGGAGTTCTTCTGCCAGTGGATTGTTCAGAACCGTGCCCTCCAAGCCACCGCGCAAAAAACATATTTCTTAGTCCATCCCTTTGTCGGTGTTTTGCCCCATGCAACGTCATAAATGAGGAGAACTTAGCGGATTGTCTTGGGAAGGCCCTGTTTTTGTGGGCGGGGGTATGTTCTTTCATCTTGTTTTCCCTCTCCAAGAGGGCTTTTCGTGCTTTTCCTCCCATTCCACGGCTCCGCCGTGGTTTTCCCCCCTTTTTTTAATGTTGTTTTTTCTTCTTTTCTTTTTTAGTATTTTGTTTAAAAACAAAAACATGATTTTTGCGTTTCCCGTTTTTTTTTGATGGCCAACATTTTCAGGCATGCTGGAGAACCCCGAGTGCTCCATCGACCAGGGCAGCGCCATCCGGGTGCTCAGCGAGAGCCTGGGGCGCACGGCCACGGTGGTGCGCTGCGCCGCGGACAAGGCGATCTGCGTGGCCAACGGGGCCTTAGAGCTGGGCTGCAGCCTGGCGATGCTGGACCAGGAGCATCCGGGGCCATTGCCATAGTTGGTTTGGGTTGGTTTTGGATTTGGATTTGAAGCTCTGGAAGTCTTGGTTTGGGATGGATTTGGGGATTTGGATTTGAAGGCCTGGCTTAGAGATGGTATCTGGACCTCGTTTTGGAAAAAAGGAGACGCTGGAGCGCGAAGTGGTAAGGAGCAGGGAGGAAAGTGGCCGGTTTGTTGACCCTGTCCAAAGGAAATCAGTGGGAGGGGCAAACCTGCGGGTCAGAAAAAAGCAGGAGGGAAGGGGAGAAGGTGAGAAGGGGAGAAGGTGAGAAGGTGCTCCAGAAAGGTTCTCACGGTAGGATGGTTATTTGTGCTCCAAAGGAAGTTGGACTAATGAGTGGAGTATCAGTTTCAATTGCCATTTCGGCAAACTGGGTCGTCAGTGATTCGTTGATGCATCGAGCGCAGGCCATGTGCTTCCGTCCGGCCAGGAGCGCCGCAAAGAGAAGGCCAAGGAGGCCAAGGACACCGTGGTGGGCGAGCCGCCCTCGCCTCCTCCGCCGGCTTCCGCGTCTGGCCTCGGCAGCGAGTCCCCTCTGCCAAAGACGCGGCGAAGCTGCGCTGCCCGAGCGCCGCGAGAGGAAGAGGAGGAGGAGGAAGAGGAGGAGCCGAAAGCTTCACTTAAGGAGGAGGAAGCAGATGGACAGCCGAAGCAGGCCTGTCAATCTTCGAGTTGGAAAAAGTCAAAGGAGGGAAACTGGGTGCCAACCAAGAAAATGTTGCAACCAGGGGTTGCCATTGAGGCGGCTGTTGAAGGCACCTGAAAAGTCTCTGTTGCAGCAAACGGGAAGTTGCACCACAAGATTGTGAGAGAGACGTTCATGTCAATGCCAAGGGGGGGTCCTCTGGAAGGATTTTCCTCGCATCATGAACTGAAACGCCGCAAGCGAGGCCAAGCTGCTGATTCGGAACCTGCGATGGCTGGAGAGCCTCAACAAAGAGGTGCTGGAGCTCCAGGGCAAGCTGAGCCTTGGCCGCTGACATGGCTCTCAGCTTCGGCAGTGGATTTGAAGGGGGCCCTTCTCGTCATGCGAAGCTCAGGAGGGCCGCCATCCATTCGGACAGCTGCTTGGACGAGACTGTTGTGGCTGCTTGCAAGCCAAGCTACTCCCAATGGCGAGTGCGTGGTGAAAGCGGGCTTCCTGCGCTTTTGAAGCGATCCAAAGAGTCTCAAAGAGGTCAGGAGTCAGCTTCACTCTTTGACTACTCGGCAGGTATGGGAAAAAAACGACATGTCAAAAGGAGTAGTCCAATTCAGAATGGTCCTGTCCAACATTGATTCCGCATTTTGCATGGCTTCGGGTTCTTTTTCATTCGAAAAGCGATGGCTGGGCTCCTGAAGTCTCGAGGTGGCATGCTCAAGGGCATCGCCCCAGAGCACAAGGGCGGCAGCCCGGCTGGGATAGACGGACACTGAATGCACAGGAACACGCAGTTGCCCCCCCCCCACCCATGCCCACCCACATCCCGCCCAGGGCGCTCTAGATTCCTCTTTGCAAGGAAGCGCACTTAAAACCGGCGACAAAATGGTGATGTTTAAAAGTCTAAATCCCTTGAGGGGAATCCGCCATCTAGGCGTCTGCTGTTACGGCTTACGCTTTCCGAGGCGTTTTTGACCTGGTGGGGCAGATCCTCCATGCTGCCATCTCAGAGGCGACGGTTTCGGCCAAGGACTGACTGCGTGCCGTCGGGTGCAGCTCCCTCCCTTTGGGAGGTTCATCACTAGGTGCAGAAACAGCTATGCCAACTCCAGAGGGCGAGGAATAGGCAGATGATGTCGTAATTTGTGCAGATGGCCATGCGAGCCCCTTTTGAAGGGGGGGGGTCTTGCATGCAGCCATCGGATAGATGCTGACAGCCGTGGTCATGGATGTTAGTGGGCTGAGTGAGTGACATGCCCGCAGGATGATGCAATGTCATCTAAGCAGGTGCTCGAGCAGTCGTTGGCTGCGCGGCATGTAACCCCCCATGAAGTTTTCACAAAACGCGCGTGCAACGCTTGTTGGCGCGCCTCTTGGACACGGCAATTTGCAGCTGAGGCTTTTGCACTGGCCTTGGAGCACACCCAGCAGGTCGCCGTGCCGGCGGAAGTGAAGACGCAAGTGATGAAGCACGCTGCCCTGTTGGATGTGGACTTGCTTTGCGCCCTGTCAGCAAGCTGTTCACTTGTGGTCACCTTACACCTCCTGAAGCAGGTGTGTGTGTGTGTGTGTGCGCGCGCGTGCGTGCGTGCGTGCGTGCGTGGGTGGGTGGGTGGGTGGGTGTGCGTGCGTGCGTGCGTGCGTGCGTGCGTGCGTGCGTGCGTGCTTGGGTGGGTGGGTGGGTGGGTGGGTGGGTGGTGGGTGGGTGGGTGGGTGGGTGGGTGGGTGGGTGGGTGGGTGGGTGGGTGGGTGGGTGGGTGGGTGGGTGGGTGGGTGGGTGGGTGGGTGGGTGGGTGGGTGGGTGGGTGGGTGTGTGTGTGTGTGGGTGCGCGTCTGTGTGTGTGTGTGTGTCTGCCTGTGTCTGCCTGTGTGCCTGTGTGTTTGTGTGTCTGTCGTCTGTGTGTCTGTGTGTCTGTGTGTGTCGGTGTGTGGGTGTCACACGCGCAGTTGATGGCGTCTTCCACCATTCAGACAACCCCCCCCGCCAACAGTCTGCATAATTCGGCTTTAATTGCCTTTTGGCTCACGGGGAGGTGCCGACTTCGATGACAACTCAACCCCAAAAGCTGTTCACGTTTGACTTCAGAAACTGTTGGGTGGCAAGCGGGTTGATTGTTGTCCCTTCGGAGAGTAGAGGCAGACTGCCAGCAAAGTCTTTGCAAGTGAGGAGAGGGTTGCAGAAGCGGTTGATTTTGTCCATGACATGAGAAACACGGTTCAGCCGGCTTGTGGTGGGCACCGGGTTTCACATTTGATCTCCTGAGCCCAACGCCTACAGGTTGGTTTTCACTTTTGCTGTGTCTTAAGCTAGCTCGGAGCAAAGCAAAATCACGTCCAGGCCACCAAGCCAATCCAACTCTACCTCGTCCTCCTCCGCCTCCCCCACCCCGACAGCTCAACCCACCAATTGGTAAGACCAGCTGCCCCATGTATCCAACTGGCCCAGGTACCAACTGGTACCAGCTGGTAAGGTCACAATGGTACGGACTTCTTTGTGGCTTCCTTTCAAAACCACAACAAAGGGGTCCCAACTCAAGAAAAAGACCCCACTCCCAAGTGGGGAACAGCAAACACATCATCTTGTGGCTTCCTCCCCTCAAAAAACAGAACAAGAAAAAGACACACCCGATTGGGACAACTGGTTTCCAACAAAGGTTTTCTTTCCTGGTGGCTTCCTCCCCCCGAAAAGATTAAGGGGGTCCCATGAAACAAAAAAAGCTGGAGCCAACAAAGGTTTTTTGTGGTGGCTTCCTCCCCCGGAAGACTCATAAACCACATAAAACGACACACCAACCTGGACAACTGGTCCCCCCAAAGAAACAAAAAAGAGAAGAGAAACACAGAAGAAAACAGACCCCCCCCCCCACAAACGCACGCACAACGACGAGTAAGACACCCAGGTCAAATCATCGAGGGCCCCTTCCAGAAGCGCCTGGTGGCCGCCGGCGGCCGCCGCTCCGCCTCGCTGCCCTCGGCGCGGCCTCGGGCTTTGGCGCCAGGCGGGTTTCGAGGGTCCAGGAGGGGCCCTTCAGGGGTCGGGGGGCGCACAATTTCCACTCATGACGAAAACTCGCCTGACACACTTTGGCTCAAGGCCTGTGCATACCTGTACTTCCCTCAGATAGAGAAAGTAAGTGAAGGCTTTGCTGATTTTGGTGCACAGTATATTGCTTCCATCAGGAAACTACACACTGCTTTATACCTGGTCTTCGGCCTCTTCCACTTACCTATTATCCTCAACCAGGGGCCTACGATGCACATTGCTGGGGTCATTTGGACTCCTCCATTTGCAGCCTCAATTGTGGTAGCGGAGCAGCTTCTGAGAATGTTCAGCGAAGCACGCAAGGAGCCGCAGCACACATAGTGCCCGATCCAGGTCGCCTTGACTCAGCCATTCCGACGAATTTTGACCAATTCGTCCGAGGTAAGAGACAGGAGCATTCGCAATCTTTTCCTCTTAGCATTCTTCTTCATCACGCAGAGTCAGTGGTCAGAAGGCAAACGAGAAACACTGGTATCTTCATTGATGTTGAGAGGCGCACAACTCCCTCAGTATACCTATGAAACCATAAAGGCCCAATACTACGACGTTTCATCCACACCAGCACAGCTTCAGGATCCAAATGTCCGACCAAGCGGCGGACATAGATCCAAGACCATCTATATCCTTGCGCAAGGATTTCGAAGGAGAAGCAGGATTCTGGGTGGAAAATGACGAAGGCGAGGAAAGCTTCTTTCATTAGACGATGAAGAAGCTCTTTTGCAGCTGGAAGACCATGCTGCTTTTGTCTTCAGCGTCAGACGCTCAAGCCCGGCAAGGGGCGAAAAGGAAGAAAAGGAAACGGCAAGGGCAAGCGCCGAAGAGGCCGCTTTCAACCCTTACATGGCCGATGATTCCACCGCCAATCAATCGTAATTGGTAAAAAAGCAAACCACAATCTTGGTTCCAAACAGGAAAAGGAAAATCCTTCAGCAAATGCAAGGACAAAGGAAAAGATCCAAGCAAGGTAAAGGAAAAACCAATTGATGCTAGTAGAAGTGTGATCACCCTAAACTGCTTTGACCTACGCCATGTTTCCGCGTGCGACGCTAAATCGAGCTCACGCTCTGGTTAGTAGACGCATGGCGCCCATCATCAAGTAGCCCGAAAATCCAACCCATGTCATCCTTGACAATGGTGGCGCTGGGTTCGTGGGCAGCTGGTGTGCCGTGGCGAGATTCACCAAGGCAATAGAATCATAGTATCCTCGCTGGATGAAGTATGAGTACATTCCGCGCAACAAGATTCACTTTTCCAACAGTCAAGCCTCAAAGGTTGACTGGACTCGCCGACTGCTTTTTTTCAATACCTCACCACCTGTGGTGACGTTTTTGGATATCGTTGAGCAAGGACAAGTTCCGATTTTGCTTAATTAGCATTGATCAGGTGCGGAACATTCACCCAATGTGACAAGATCGCCTGCAAGGCATTCGGTACGATTCGACAACCCAACCGCTATCCAGTACCGGTTACGCACTGTTTGATCTTCCAGCCTTCTGCAAACAACACTGCCGCAGGACGGCGACCAAGGCGTTCGATGACGGCACGGGCCGCAGCATATCCAGCCGAAGCAGCGCCAGAGGAACCACCAGCTCCAGCGCCGGCGCCGGCAGCAGACGCAACGGAAACCGTCGGACATGGCAACAACGACCGCTGGATAATTCATCACGCAAGCAGAGAACTCCAAAGAGTTCATGTGTCCAAGAGGAGAGCATTATTCGCGCTTGACGCAAGCAAAACTTCTCCCATTGCGCACACACACACACAAACATTCAAACGGCGAGCCGCAAAACGACTTCAACCAGAGACGCAGGAACCACTATCGTTTATCGAAGAGAACTGGCGAACCAAGGCAGCTTCGCCAAAGACAACGTCAGAGTTGTGGATTATGGACAGGAACCGCAACCTGCAAGTTCTCTGGCAAACCACCAACAGCAGCGCAACCACATGCAGACAACGCAGCAGACAGGAGCATTCCAGCACCAGCAGGCCGGCGTGCCAATGAGCCAGCGGATCCTGCTGCGCTGCAAGCAGCAGCAGCAGCAGCAGCAGATGCCCTACTTGAACCACCAGCTATGCTGCCGCTTGCGCTCAAACGCATACAGGCGCGACTCTCAAAACCAGAAGAGCTCAAAAAACTTCACTTGCAACATCACCACATGTCAGGAGAGCAGTTCAGACGCAGGACTCGCGCGTTGCACGTGACGAAGGAGATCTATGACCTCTGCGACAAGATCCGAGCAGAGTGCGAACATTGTCAGAAAGCTGCCGTTGCACCTTCACGCAGCAAGACACGCGGCCTCAGAGCAGAGACATTGGCGAAATGAGATTCGTTGATCACTGTCAGGTTTTGTTAGGAACTGGTGAACGCATCAATGGTCTTGTTATCCTTGAACCGCACTTCTAACCACAGAAGTAGTTGAGAACACGACTGATGTCACCAAATTCCTCTGTTGACAGAGGCCCGGGAGAACTTCTACAACAGTCTTGACATACGACCAATCAGCCGAGTCACTGAAGGCCAAACTGCTTAAAGGCAGCAGCAACTGCAAGAGACCTCTCCGTGACAAACGGAGGAGTCACTCCATTGGAGCTTGTCCGACTGGACATAGCAACACCACCGCAACTCACCCTTCCCAAAACGCAAGAAGAGTGAGTTGACTCAACAGTCATACCAAGCAGAAAAAAAAACAGGGTGTTGGCCTTCTTCCTAACCAAGCTTTGTCTTCCGCAGGACCTCACGCGTGCCCCGCCTTGCAACTTCGTGCCGTTTCCCTGCGCGGCGAGGCCGCAACGGCTTTGAAGGTGAACCGCGCTTTGGACCCGGTCTCCATGTCAGAGAGCTGCTTGCTGTTGATCGGCAAAACGCGCCCCGCCACGCCGCGCACCATCATAGAGTCAGAGTGTCTGACAAAGCCTTGATTCAATGCCAGTCAGTTTTTGTGCAGGTGCCAGGTCTGCCAGGTCACTGACGAGTGTTGAGCTTGAGCCGGAGATGCGGGCGGCAACTTATGCACGGCTGGCAACCAGATTTTTGACTTGCCTGGCGAGGTTTTGATTTGGCCCAGGCTGGAAGGTCGCTCAGGAAGGTCGCACGCCGCGCAAGCTCGCGGTGTTTGAGTTCTCCGGCTGATCGCAGGTTTTGAAAGCTGTTGTGGTGAAAGTGTGTTTTCTGTTCTTGTGTGCAGTCTGGACTGCTTCGATGCGACATAGGTGTTGGGATAGCTTTAATCTGAGCAGGTTTCGACGTCAACCAGACGTTGTTAGGCTTGCACCAGTTTGTGGACCCTGGTCCGTCACGCAAAACATCAATGATCCAAGAACTGTTGCAGAAAAGGGAGCCAGGTTTTTGCCGATGATTGATTTTGTAGCATCGATCGCAAGATGCCAGTGGTTTTTTGTGCGTTAGCTTGGAAAGGAGAAGCCGAGCCTGCCAAGCGCAAGCCATGGTGAAGGGCGGCAAGAAGATTTGCAAGCCCCACAATGACGGGGGAGTTGCAGCAACCCAAGCTGCAGTGACCTGCACGTGTGCGATGTCAAGCTCGCATCCGGGAAGCCTTGCTTGTCCAAAAGCCACAACAGATTGCAGCACGAGTAGGGACAGCTCCCCCGTGGGCCTGGGGCCCCCGGTTTGGGATCAACGGCTGTTCTCTGCAAGGGAACCTTCTGTGTTTCTCCGGATGGTTTTATTGCAGAGCGCGCCAGTCGGCGCCCCTTCTAAGGTTGCAACCATGGCTTCACAACTCCGGGCGGTGAAGCCTGTCACCTGCAAAGGGCCTGGAGACCTTCCCCAATGTGCTTGGGCCAGCCTGTCCTTGGCTGTGCGGTTCTATGCTGTGGCTGTGCAAAAAGATGCCGTGCGGCCCACTTTCAGCCGACGGGACTGGGAGGAAGCATGCCTTTTCAAGCGGACATGATGTCCAAGCAGCATGATGGGCGTCTGTCGGCGCACTTCGCTTGGTCGGAGCTAGAACAGCTTCCTGCATGCCGAGATTGCAAGGTTGTGTCATTCTTGGAATGCGCCACTCAGTACACAGAATGGCTGGGAGCCCTCGAATCTTTGTGAATGCTGTGCTTTGTGGATGGTGCAACGCCGTCAGCTTCTTTGGCAGACTTCTCAAACATAAGGGGGTGTCACCGGGTTGCATTCCCCCCAACAACTGGACTTGGGTTCAACACCTGAGCTGCGCCGTGGTCAGGCAAGGGGGCAAGGCGTACACACATTCACAGAAGAATTCTTCCATCCTTCATGCCGAGCTCCGTGGCAACAGCCTGTGCCCGAAGAGCGCTGCCAAATGATGGGGCTCCCTGCAACGCCAGATTCCCTGATTGCCCTGGGTCTTCGCTTCCAAGATGCCACCGCAGATCTGCGACCCCCATGAAATGGGGCCGGGCGAGGGGGCGCCCCTGCCCTTGGGCCAGCCCGACCGCAAGCTACCTGTTCGTCGCGACGACCCGCACAGTTTGGGAGCCAGGCCGGCTGGAGACCTTGCCAGGCCTCTTGCGCCATGACGACGTGACGGCCAGTATGCAACTTGTGCTGCGGGATTTTCCCACGCTCCGCAAAGTATGGGACCAGGTCGCGATCCGATTGTCCCATGTCAAGCTGCATTTGCTTCAAGCCTTTACAGCCTGCGCGCTGGGGCATGCTTTGGACATGGGCAACCTGGGACCTTCGTCGCTGGGGTCTATTCACCGAACGCAGATCTATGCTGGGCTGACTGGCCAGCGGCATCCAGGCAACTCCGCCCGTGGGTTGCTCGCCCTTGGGCCGGGCAAGCCTTTCCGCGTAAGACCATGGCCGGAGCCGGATGTCGACTTCGTGTTGCGCGCCGTAGCAGTGTGGCAAGCTGCTTTGCCGGCTTACACCGCGCAATGCCGACAGGCGCTATGCGCCTTGTGGGGCTGGCCTATGGCCTGGAAAGCGCTGCGGTGGCTTTTAGCAGATTTCCACAGCTGGGGGTTTCGGCCGTGCGACGGTGCCTTTATGCGCTTGCTGCCCAAGTTTCCCAGCGCGGGCTGACACAAGTCTTTGCAGCGATGGGACCGCAGCCGTGCAAAAGCTTCGCCCCTGCCGCTGACATTACCTGGGAGCTTCGATCCATTTGGGGGATGTCTCGAAGAAAGTCCGCATTGCGCCCAAATATGCCACGGCGGGCAAAGTCGTTGCACGCTTAGATGGGCTACCTCCACCGGGATGCGGCTGGTAAGCTGCGTGGCGACCTGGCTTGGATGTTTTCGATGGTGGCAGGGCATTTGGGACGGATTGCCAACCCAGTCCTTGCACATCGCCAACATGGAGGTGCTGAAAATCAGCGAAGCTGAATCGGTGCCCTTGGAAGCAAATCGCTGCCGACTACGTGCCCCGCTACATCAAAGTGTGCAGCCCTGCGCGGACACCCCCTGTGATTTACTTTGATGCTTTCCTGGTCCGGGGAGCCAGCTCCCAAGAAGACGTGCGCGAGATCGCCCAAGTGGACACCCATTCGAACCCTGCAGATGGGCTCAGTCGCCTTGGCGTCTGCGACGCGTGGACCAGCTCACAGCAGTGGTCTCTTTGCGAGTACAATTTTCTGCTAACTTCAGCCGTGTCATTCTTGCGCGACCTTAGTCGCTTTGAGGCATCTTGAACAGTTACCCATTGTTATTTGATAACAATGCAGTTCAAGAGTGCCATGTCTCTGTGTAGGACTGGCTCCAGCACACCCGTACGCCAGTAAGCAAAAGGTGCTGTCACCGTGCATCCTCTTCTTTGTTAGATTTGTAAGGTGGAACTCTTTAGACAGCGAGGTTTTCCTTCTGACGGTTTGGCCATTCTCAGACAGCGACATAAGCAGATCCGAGCTGGACAAGGTTGATGAGGAGTACAACATGACGAGTGCCAGTACTCAGGCAGATCCACTTTACGTCAACGAAGTAACCAAACTTCAGAGAGCCATGAAGCAGTTCCCTCAAGGAACAGAGCTTGACCTTGAATCTTCATCCAAAACAGATTCAAGAATCCTCGCTATTCATCATGGCGGACGGCGACTACGGTATCTTTGAATACCTCACACACCTTACAACAAGTGCATGTTCATCCGTACAATCGGAACCAACTCGCCGTTGACAGCGCCGCCAGATGACGCTTGTGTGTTTTTGTGGCAAGCTACGCTAACACACCGAGTAAACCCTGAGTCTTGCCAGCGCACCGATGTGACTGGAACGACTATACTTCAACACAGTGGCACAAACCCGCATGTCGCTTGAGGAAGCGCCAACGATTCGGCCAATGCTCATCGACCAACAATGCGATCGCAACGGCGGCGGTGGTTTTGAACCACCAGGACACCTGATCAGACTGACCAACACATTCGACAAGCGCCGCAGCCACCAAGACCAGACCCACCATCACAGCCCAATGTGCCAATTCCTGACCCACAACAAACACCTATCATTCAAGGCGTGGGTTGCTTTCAGAATCCGAGAAGGTCCCGCTAGAACAGGAGCTCCCACCCGCAAGGACAAGACCGTTGGGCCCATCTTCAAGGCTGTCATGTTTTGCGCCGTAAAAACGCTCCTGATTGGGAATCGCCTCAGAAGAGAAGACTATCCAAGCCAGCGAGGATTTTTAATTGGACGCGCAGGAAGCCAAGAGCCGACTCTTACGACCGAGACCTTGGGCGAGTGCCATGTGCGTCGAGCCTGACTACCATTCCTGACGGTTGGCGTTTGTTACTACGAGTGCAATGCCACGAAACCCTACCATGCAGTCATTGCAAACATGACACGGTTCGTAAATCGTGAATTGAACACATGGTGGACATTGTCACCAGAGATGCCAACTCCGCAGCAACAAGAAACAATTGGTCCAACATCCACAGATATCAGCCCTCCAAGGAGTCGTGGAATGCTTCAAGCAGGCCCAGCTGTGGACCATCTCCGTATTTCTTCAGAATTTGCGGCATCCAAGAGACCATCCTTCAGACAGCGCTGAACCACGGGAAGAAGGAGACCGAGTGCAGGAGGTCTGCAAAGCGATTCGTACATCAAAGACCTGGATCCCGCAATCCATCACATTCCGAATACCCATGGGAAACAACTTTTCGATTACATGGTCAACTCTGGAGAGTGATGATGCAGCTCCTCACGTGCGAACAGCTCATTCTAAAAAACGCGGACAGTGATTGGCATCATCCTCTATGGGTCAACATCGATTCCATGAGCGAGAGCCCCAATATGTGCGAGGAGAAATTGAAACGCAAGAGACAACAGGATTTTCCAGCTGAAGAGTATCCCACATTCAAAATGGGGCACGTTGTCATCTTAATAGTACAATGACGAAGAAAACCATTTCGTTGGAATGTCCAGTCATGTTCGCTCCGGACATTCCGGAGTTCCTCACCATGATTCTATAGGAGCAGTCATTGTCGTTTCTCACTCCTGTATATATTCAGAAGTTTCAATCCAAGTACACATTCAACACAGATTTCAGATGTGCTCGTGCAAAATAGCGTACCTCTTTGATGCATCGGAACAACCGATAAACTTAGATGGCTACGGTCAAAAATGTTCCTATGTGCTAGCACTGCATCATTAAATCCTAAATAAAAGGAATACTGCCACACAGTGATTTTATCACTGGTCTCGAAAGGCCTAATAGTGATGCCATACGTGGAAAGAAATTTGTGTCTGTTTTGTTTCTTTTGTTCTGTGCTTGCTTCACAGTATCCCACTCATGATGCAATCCGCCTGCCGTACTTTGTCCCACGGCCTGTGCATACTCTCAGATAGAGGAAACAAGTGCGCTTTGCTGATTGTGTTGCTGCATCGGAGTAGGCTCTCGGGTCATTTAGACCCCTCAATGGGGGGGGTGTGAAGACTCAAAGTCACGGGTGTCCTCAAAAAGTTTTTGTTGCTTGAGCCAGATGGATTTTGGGTTCAGCCATCAACTTGCTGGTGCGATTGGTGGGTAGGGAATGTGGTTGAATAAGCCCGAACTAAACCATCCAACTGGTGGTTTCCTTTAGGGGACCAATGGGTTCATTCGCACATTCCCTGCTGCGCACCAGCAAATTGAGGGCTGAACCAAAAATACATTTGGTTGAAGCAAAGAATTTTTGAGGGAAGCGTAGATGAGCGTGCATGTCCTGTTTAGGACAGTTTGGCTAAAGATAGATGGGTTCCACAGCTGGGTTTCATGAACCGTTTACCGGCCATCCTTTTCCGAAAGGCAATTTTTGCCCACATTTTTTTGGTAGACATCTGGTACCCTCCGCCCCACTAACATAGCACCTCACAGAGCGTTCCCCTAGTGAAAGTAAAAGGCTCGATTTGTCGCTCTTTGGAGTTCCAAGCATGCCAGCATGGTAGCCAGTAGCCACAAGCACGTCAGACAAGACGCACATGTGTGCCAGTGAGGCACGCGTGCTTCCACTGAATATTGGTCGCCCAGCCTAGGCGAGCCAAAGGATAGCCGCGAGTCGTGGATGAGCCTTGTTCATTCCACTTGCGCACGCATCACTTCAAGCTTGCGCTGCTCGGCTGAGTTAGAGCCGGTGCTGATCTGCCACTTCCATCAGCAGCACTGGCAAGGTGATCCCCGGAATGGATGAAGCACGCTTCTCTTCATCGAGCAGGGCAAGCTGCCATGCTAACTGGGCACGCTACAGTGACAGTAGCATCCTAGGTCCAAAAGTCGGGCTAATGTAATTTAAAGACCTCGCGGGAATTCCCACCGCGGAACCAGCAAAGTTGGTCAAGGTGACGCATGTCGCTAATCTGGCGATACTACATTGCTCATATTGTTCGGAGCCCAAGCATGCCAGCAAACGGCAACATCAAGACGGAGAATGCGAAGCAATGTTGCGAATCCGCTGAGGCCTTTGTACAAACTTGGCGTTTGTAGTCGGAAGGGCCTGAAATTCAGGCCGGCTGAATTCACTCCTGATGTTCACCTTGCATGTTAGCTTCGCATCTTGTCCAACTTGGCGAGCTTGTTGCTGCTTCAGTGCAGCCAAGCAGCCAGCAGATTCTGCCAAAAATGCTTGCGGAGTGCTACGGGAGTGCAACACATGACGGAGCCTGGCAAGACGCCGTGGCGTTGCGAGGAGCGGTAATTAGGTTGCTGTGGATGGTTGCGAAATCCAACCTAAGAATCACTGGAATCATGATTCCCTTGTAAATACCAACAAGCAATGGTTGGATTTCGTCCACCCACAGCAGGTCCATGGGGGGGGGGGGGGTGACTTTCGTCATTTGCATTTGTTCCCAGGCTATGGCTCGAGTGAACCAGGTTTCTTAGGGGAAGCCTGTCATGGTATGCTCCAAGATCTCCAAGGCACTCAGTGAGACGAACCCTAAAAAGTGCGCAGCTGGCTGGGGCATTGCGACGTGCGTGTTCTTCCTAGTCGGTGCTATTGTTCTCCCCGTGGGTTTGTTGTCACTGGAGGCACCAGAGAGTTACGTCAGCCTGGGCACATGCAAAATCAGCGCAGTGAACCACAAACCAGAGATGTGCCCGGGGTACGACAGGAAAAGCAAGTGCTTCGATATTCACACTTACCAATTTGAGTATGAAGGTATGACGCTCCTGTCGAAGGAGGACCGGACCGCTTGCCGCAGTGGAGTATGCAACGCAATTGCAGGCCATGAACATGGCGGGCAGGCCACTCCAAGGTTCAACGTTGGTGAAGATGTACCATGTTGGAGAGTCACCCAATCCCGAGAGCGGTTCAGCTGCGGCAACGATGATTGTATCAAGATCTTTGATCCAGCTCAAGAGATTGCGGAGGGGGCGAGTGGCATCATCGGCGTAGGTGCTGCTTTTTTGTCCTTGGGCTTGTGTTCAGGTTGCCTGGTGGTGGTCAATGTGCTTCGCATCCGTTCCAAAGTGAAGAGCGAACCCGACCATGAGAACAACGAACCCGGCCATGAGAACAACAACAAAGGAGTAGAATCTTGAGCCTTGTGGAGTCAGCCTTTGGTTTCACTGATGCACTTTCTGCATTGTTCTTATGGGGTGGGGGGATGGGGTCTCCAAACTGTGGACAGGTGTGCGCATGACATGCTTGCGACACTTATTCCTTCCACACCTGGCAGGCACTTCATGAAGTGATTTTTCCAACCTTAGGAGACTTGACCGTAGTCAGAGCTGCCAAGGGTAGAAAGCTTCGCGTGAAGCAGAAGATGGAGGGAGTAAAAGGCGAGGGGAGTCAGATCCTGTCGGATCGAAAACCGAAGCATGGACTTCGGAGCGCTTGCTCCCTCGTGCGGACACGCATGGCCGAAACAGGCTGAACCGTCTTTTTTTTATTCGGACGGGCGGGGGGGGCTTTGAGAGGGAAACTGAAAAGACACCGACGCCAACACCAAAGTCTCTTAGATAGCTTTTCAGGTCTTCGTTTGGAATGGGTGGCCAACAGGAATCAGCGCGTTTTGTGTCACGGGTGCCAAACTGGTAGCCACACGCACCTCAGGCAAGACGCACACGTCGCCAGATCCCCGTAATGGATGAAGCACGCGTCTCCTCATCAAGCAGGGCAAGCTGCAGTGGGCACGCTAGAGCGGCAGTAGTGTCCTACAGTCTTGTGAACGTAATTTGAAGACCTCCCGGACAAAATTCCCACCCTGAGCCAGCAAGCTTGGTCGAGGTTGATGCATGTCGCTAAGATGGCGATACTACACTGCTCATAGGAGATTGTTTGGAGCCCAAGTGCCAGCGAACGACAACAGCAAGACAGATAATGTGAAGCAATCGGAGGAGAAATGCAGGCCGGCTGACACTCTCCTGATGTTCACCTTGCATTGATGCGTAGCATTTGTCCAACTTGGAGAGCTTGTTGCTGCTTCCACCAAGCAGCCAGCAGATGCTGCCAAAAATGCTTGCGGAGTGTGACGGGACTGCGACACATGAACTTTCGAAACTGGCTTGGCTCTGTGACATTCAAGCTGCGGCCTTGGCCAGGTGAACGAACAATGAATTGATGAACCTCCCGCACTGGTTGCCCTTCGCTTTTCTGATGTCGCGTGCATTGGCTGGCCGACGCGTTTTCACCTGACGCAGCCTTGGCTCGAGCTTACCCTCAGCGCTAATCCCCGCGTCTGAGGTGGATCATTTGTTAGATCCGTCAGGTACTAGCTGCGTACAGCACCGGCCTCAGTGGAGCATTTAAACGCAGTTCAGCCATACTGCACCGGTTTGCGCGTTGCCTGACCAGCTGAGGAAATGTACGCATTACTTCTCCTTGTGGCCTGGCTTCACTTAATTGTGGTTCAAGAATTGGTACCCACAAAATGGAAGCCTGGCGCATGGAAAGGACAAACACCTGCAGCCTTTGATTGAATTTTGGCCCATACCCACCTGTTTCGAACGTCGGAACCGACTCGGCTTGCCGAGACTAGCGCCGGCCTGGCAGCAGCTGAAACGGCGGTTGCGCCGTCCCTCATGCAGTCCAGGCGCGGCAGTCTAGGCGCTTGCCAACGGCGCGAGGTTTTCTTGGGAGGTGTTTCGCCTGTCAGGCTGCGAGGTGCCAAAACTAGCCAAGCCACCGAGGCTCGCATCGGGATCCGAAGTTGAGAGTCTGAGTCGCAAGGGACCCGGCCGCATGCGGCATGTGAAACCAATGTGGCAGCGTGTTTGGGAATGCCCAGTGATGGGAAACGTCCCAAAATCCCCCCGAGTTTGGGACACCTGCCTGTATGGTAGCGTGGTCAAGGGGGGTCAAAGGAGGGTCACCGTAAAGGAGTCTCCCTAGACAACAGGACAGGAAAACACCCACAAAGAACGCACGAGGGACAGCATCTTCGGGCGGGGTCATCAGCATACCCTAGATCACTCTCCCGGTGTTTTTTTTTGCAGCCGGCGCAAGCAAGTGAGGAATATGCCAAGCCAGCAAATAGTTTCACAACTTCTTTTGCCGGCCAGCTGGTTGGCCCTCTCGCGGACCCAGCCGACTCGTGCGCTAGGCGATGTCACCCTCGAAGTCATTTGCGTCCGCGGTGATGGGCGAGAAGCCAAGACTCCATTTGCACTCTTGTAGTTTGAGGGGTGGGAACAGAGCAGAGGTCAGCGCTACAGCGACGATGATGCTTCCTGCTCAGCTGAAGGCCCGATCTGCGTGAGCAACACGATTGAATGGAATCCCACGGTGTGTTGAGAATTCAGGCATTACGCCTGGGGTTTGCGCGTTGGCATCCTTGGCACGGTTGTCATCCGAATCTTCATCTACTGGCAAGGTCGCTGCTTGCTCCAACTCTGCGTGGGAATGTCGTGGGCATCACTTCTTCTTTGTTTTTTGTTTTTTGTTTTGGGGGGGGGGTTCTGGGGTGACAACCTGACTGTGTATGGCCGGTCCTTGAAAGCCTGGGACTGGCACCACGGGTTTTTTGCCCGAGCTCTGTGCCATGGAGCATGGGTCAAAGCTTGTCCGAGGCCGATTGCGACAAGCAAGAAAGCCGAGACAGGCTAGAAGCTCAGAAAGCCCGGGGGAGTAAAGGCTCTCTCCTCAAATTTTGTTTTTTTGGGTTGGTGCCGTGATCTAAGGTGTGTAATCTTGTTTGGTCGGCTGACTGGCTTCAGCTCCGGAACTGGGGAATGGCCTTTTCGGCCTACAAGTCCGCCGTTCTGAACAGGGCTCCTTAAAAGACACATTGTGCAACCATTTGAAATATGGCTTTTTCCACCAACATAAAGGGAAACCACCATTGACAAGGCAATGTTCAGGAGTATATATAATGTAAGGATCCCTGTCTGGGAAGGGCCGATGTTCCATTGGCTGGTGGGCGTTCCTGCATCTCTCTGAGGCTGGAGCGTGCGCTGATTGCCGAGATCGAGTCCGCAGCGGCGGGCAACCACACTGGTGGCTTTGCTGGAGAAAACGGGTTTAGATGAAACCAGCACCGGCACAGTTGTCACATGGGTATCGGTCAAAATCATGCCACCGGGGGACAGGCGTTTGTCCTTGGTTCCTTTTGCAAAAGGGTTCCATTTGGGACCCTATTCTTGACCCACAGCCAAATGGAGGTTTTGAAAGGAACCTTGTTGCCAATCTTGCACGGGGGATTGGAAGCTGCCAGCTGTACTCCGCAAGGAATCGACGCGGCCCGCTTGCAAAAGCTTGAGGAGGCTGGCGGGGTGGGGGGTACAGCACATGGCACGGCGCCTTTGTTCAAGGCCAACCACAGATACAGGCCATTGAATTTGAAGAGGGGACCACCTCAGTAGTTGGTGCACATGACTCCCCACAATGTCCACCAAAAGGTCCCGAATTAACACTCGGAATTACCGGCACGTTCCTGGCTCCCAAGGAATTGAAGCCGATCTATGCCACCTTGCCACGGGAGAGCTCGCCTTCGGGCGAGGGAGGCCTTGGGTATGCATCAGCCCGGTATTTGCCGCTGCCCCAGCATGATGTACTCAAGTAACAGTCCAATCTTTGGAACCTTACCCTGGAAATCCTATTTGACAATTCAAGCGAAGTTGGTGGTTTGTTGGGTCCCTAAAGCCATCCGCCGCTCACGTGCAAGGCTTCATCAGCACTTCCTGCGGCAACACGTGCGGTGCTTACGCTTCGCCCGAGATTCCAACGCGGCGCTTCCTGGCGCGTTTGGCTGAGGCGTGGTACGTGCGAGGCCTCAACCCCGCAGGAGATGGCCGGAAGCCTCCGGATGACAAGGACGGGCCGAGAAATCTCCCCTCCCCGGAGCTTGGCTCGACCTTCAGGGAGAGAGTTGAAGCTCAGGTGAAGGTTCGGAAATCAGACAATTTGCCATTCAAGGGTGACCTTTTGAGATTGGAGGGGATAGAGGCAGGGAACTTTCAACCCTCTCATGCCAGGAGGTGCTTCGCAGCCGAGTGGCTGGCCATCTCCTCGAGGCTTTTTGTTTTCTTGTTTTCTTGGGGCGCCAAGGGAGTGGAGGGTGAGGGGTGTGGGGGGCAATGGGTTTCAGAGCGACAGGTCATGGAGAACAAGGCGCGGCAGGGTCTGGACCTGAAGAAGCTGGCGGTCTTCGTGGCCACCTTGGCTCCCGGGATGCACTTCTGTGATTCTACTTCTATCTCCGCTTGGGATATGTGTGCGTGTGTGGGTGTGTTCGTGCGTGGTGTTTGCATGTCTGCTTGTGTGCCTTTGTGCGTGTGTGCCTCTGCGTGTCTGCTTGTGTGCCTGTGTGCGTGTGTGCGTGTGTCTGTGTGTGTGTGGCTGCCTGTCTGTCTGTGTCTGTGTCTGTGTCTGTGTCTGTCTCTGTGTCTGTGTCTGTGTCTGTGTCTGTGTCTGTGTCTGTCTCTGTGTCTGTGTCTGTGTCTGTGTCTGTGTCTGTGTTTGTGCGTGCGTTGGTGTGTGCGCGTGTGTGTGTGTGTGTGTGGTGTGCGTGCGTGTGTGGGTGTGTGTATGTGTGTGTGTGTGTGTGTGCGCGTGTGTGTGTGTGTGGGTGGGTGGGTGCGTGCGTGCGTGCGTGCGTGCGTGCGTGTGTGTGTCTCTGTGTGTCTGTGTGTGTGTCTGTGTGTGTGTGCGCGTGTGTGCGTGTGTGCGTGTGTTAGTGCGTGCGTGTGTTAGTAGTGCGTAAGTGTGCGCGGGCAGGCGGGCGGCCTGTGCTTGGGCAGGTGTGTGTGTGCGCGCGTGTGTGTCTGTGTGTGGTGTGTGTGTGTGTATGTGGGGCTCGCGCACCACACGCACGCGCATGCACCCGCATGCGCACGCGCGCGCACGCGCACGCACTGCCACAGGGTGGGGTGCCGGTGCTGGTGCAGGCGCATGCGTGCGGGCGTGCGGGCGTGCGGGCAGGCGTTGCGTGTCCGCGTGCGTGCGCACATGCGTGGGAGTATAGTGTATGGGTGTGTGGGTGTTTGTGTTTCTGTTTGTGTTTGTGTTTGTGTTTGTGTTTGTTTGTTTGTTTGTTTGTCTGGCTGTCTGTCTGTCTGCTTGTTTGTTTGCATGTGTGTGTGTGTGTGTGTGTTTTCTTTCTTTCTTCCCATTTTGTTTTGTTTTGTTTTGTTTTGTTGCGCACATGTTGGACATGATGGGTCAAGGGGATTGCCCAGTGGCCGCCGCTCCGGTCTTGAGGAGCACCTGATCCACGGGGACCAGCGGGAGCGTCTGAAGCAGGCCTGGCTGGTGCACGACCTCAAGCCGGAGGACAGCACCGACCTCGCAGGCGGCTCCAGATGCTGCGCGATTGCGTGGAGATTCTTATGGCCCCCCAGGTCCCCACAGATCAACAAAGTGCTTTAAAAAGGTACAGGTCACAACACCTGGTGGCATTCGGGAGTTTGGAATCACAGCGGGTGTTGAAGGCCCTTCAAGATGTTCACGCGTCCCTTGCGGGGATCTGCGGAGGGAACCATGCGGCCAGGCCTCGAGAGCGTCTTGGAGGCCTCGAGAGCGGCTTTCGCATCTTTCGGTTTTTGGGTGGTCTCGAGTATGGGCTGCGGTTGAAGGTCTTTATGGCCCACTATGTCTACGTGAGCCAGAAGGTGGACAGTGGGTACGTGCCCCTTTTCAACAGCGCTGGGTTGCAGTGTGTCAGTGAACCATAGTAGCACCACACGAAGAGATGTGGGCTTCCAGGGCTGGTGCATTGTGATCCTGTCCTGCTTGAGCATGTTGCAGCCAGATGCAAGGCGCTGACGCTCGCGAAGGCACGGGAGGAGGTGGCCACGATCTCTCGCATCTATGGAGGACGCAGCGTTTTGTCTGCTCGGCCGGGTCCTCAGACCGGCGCCGCAGGTTGGCCGCAGATCCGCACCTTCATACATGACCAGGCTGGAAGGGATGGTGAAATCTTATTCGGACAGACCAGAGGGTAGCCGGAGCACCATCAAAAGAAAGGAGTTTCTCTATTTGCTTGAATCCTTGATGGTTGACCAAATTGGACGCATCCGCCCGTGTGGGCCGCTCGTTGGCAGTGGGCAGGTGGCGCAGAAGCCGGCGGGCAGCAGTCTCAGCTTCGAGGATGCAGCGGGCGCAGCAGACGCCGTGCTGCTCCTATTCCAGGAGGCCGGGCATCGGACATCCTTGGCACAGGTTGCGACTTGGGTGCTGCTTACTTACCCTCCTTCCGACAACCAGAAGTGGAGAACGGGATTCCGCAAAAGCAAAGTAGTCGTCCAAAGCCGTCCTTTAAAAAGGCATCCAAGGCACCGTGTGGATGTCACGCTTTTCGTTCTGCCGGCAGAGGTATCTGGGGCCATGTGCCACGACGCTCGGTTTGCATCGAAGAACCAGCTTTGCATTGGTGGCAAGGGGACTTTGTTTGTAAGCGATGTCTGCCTGGGGCCCTGGGCCCATACGACAGCCCAAGCGTTCAGCAAGGCGCCTAGCGGGTCCAATTTTCCAAGCCTCGTGGCATGGGGTCACCCGGGCTCAGCTGAGTTTCTCCAAGTGGATTTCCGGTTTTGAGGAAGCCAAAAGAGAGCCTTAAAGCACGGGGACGAGATTTGAAGATGTCAGCGAGTGGGCCAAAGAGTGCTCCTAATTTGGGAGCGGGATAGCCGGGATAGCGCTTGAAAGAGAGAGAGAGAGAGAGAGAGAGAGGGACCAGATCTGAAGCACCAGGATACTTGACTGCTATTGGGTTGGATCTTTAGACTTTAACTTTTTGGAAAATCAAGGCGTTTTCCACTAAGCCCCCAAAAAGTTGTCAACTTTTTGCAGGGGGTCGTTGCAGCAACCAAGGATATGGAGAGGACCTTTCAGTCTTTGAATGGCGGGGATGTGGGCCGCGTGCGCCTGGCCGAGCTCCGTGCCGCCGACGGAGGCCGAGAGGGAGCCTTTGGGAGCTAGGAGTCCTGCAGGGACATGGGCGTTAATCCCACGAGCAATTGGAGTCCAAGTGGCAAACTTTCAGGTGGGGGTTTCTTAAAGCTCGATTGGCTTTGTCAAGTAAGCGAACCTGTTCTGTGTGGAGGAGGTCGCCCTTGGTTTTGTTTGTTCCCAATGGTTTCGCGCTGGCTTCCTCCCCTGCAATTCAAAGACAGAACATCAACGTTTGTTGAGCATGGTTTGGCTGTGTTCCCCCTTGCACAATTGCCTGACAGCGCCCCCCCCCCCCAATCCCCCCTCCGTGGCAGGGAACAATGTGTATAATGTGAACCGGCTCCTTTTTCAGCACTTGCCACTTGATCTGCGCGAAAAAAGGGATAGCAGCGTCGCAGATTTGCACGGTCAGGTCAATCCAGAAACTAATTCCAATTCAACATTTTTTTTTATAATCTATTTTAGCGTATCTCATATTTAATTATCTTTCTCAGCTCTTGGTGTTTCTCTTGCCTTGCGATTATTGATGTCATGGACTGCAGAAGTCTTATCAATGGAGCAAAGTAGAGACAAGTGATTAATAGGTGATACAGAAATGACCAAGACTTGGTACTGTAGATTACAATAATCAATTCATAATTGGGTCTAGAGAGTCTGTAGACAGGAAATGCCCACCAATAAGATCTCAAGGAAGGGTGGGCTAAGGAATCTCCATTGCTTATTTCTCCCCCCTTCTTGTTTCCCTTTATCACCCCAACTCTTTTTCTCGGAAGCAGAGGTTGGGTGATGGGAGGTAGAGAGGGAGAGAAGGGCGAGAGAGAGGAAAAAACTCATTGATTGGCCATCTCACGGCCCCATCCCCTCACCTCATTTTCATTGGCTGGGGAGATGGATGAGAATGGGAAAAGATATTCATGGAAAGTGAAGATATGCCAAGAAAAATGGCAAGCGGGGAGGATGGCTGTCTGGCCTCATGATTCAAGCCTCTATCTTACCACCTTATCACCACCCTTTCTCCCCTTCATTTCTATTCCTCACCACCTACAGCTTCCTTGAAGCTGAGATGGAGGTGGGGGCGGGGAAAGAGATGAGAGAGTGGGCAAGGAGATGGATGGCCATCCAACCATCTTGTTTCCTTAGTCATCTGGGTTCTTCATTCTAATTCTGTTTCCTATCTCTTTCCTAGCCGTTTCAACGGTGAGAATGGAAAGGAGAAAAGAAATTCTTTCCAGCAGTTACAAATGAACTCCTCTTTCTTCACCTCTTTTCAGCTTCTCTTTCCCAACCTCTTGCCCAGTTATAAGTTTCTTTTGGAAACGAGGGAGGTCAAGAGAAGGGAAGTGAATGAAAGCTAGACAAGCTGGAATGTCCTTATTGTCCAATTCCAATCATCTTTACTTGTCATTCCCGTTCTCTTTTAATAGCTTTGGAGCGACATGAGAGGGAACTAGAATGGAGAAAGCGAATGCAAGAGATGGAAAGCATCTCAAATGATAAAGCGTCTATGATTTGTACTCTTAGAATATGGAAACATTTTTATGATAGTAACATCTCTTTCCCTGTCTCTTCCTTTCTTGCCCTGACTCTTCGCTCGCTTCTTCACTCATCATCACCTGCAAGCGAGAGAAAAGGAGATTAAAAAGGTGGGTGAAGGAGAGAGTGGGTGGGCTCACCTTGTCACGTTTTCCCTCTCATCGCATCTCCTCCCTCATCCACATCCAAGATTTAGAAGCTAGAGAAGATGGGAGGTAGGTAATGAGAGGTAAAAAGTGAGTGTGATGATGGCGCCTTCTCTTTCATTAGCCATCATATGACCGCCCTCCATCTCTCTCTCTCTCTCGCTCTCTCCGGTCGTTTACCTGGCATGCGACCCCTAGAGTTCACAACAAGTAGTGGAAAGAGACATTGCCCAGCTCCAGCTCTAACAGGTAGGATAATGATGGAGGAGCTGGTCATCTCCCTCTCACACGCCTTCCCTTGCCATCTCTTAATTCTGGAGTGGCGGGGATTGTATGCAAGAGAAAGGAATGCAACTCCTTCTCCTTCTCTATCACCAACATCTCCTTCCCCTTAACCATGTCACAGAATCCAGAACGTCTTTCATGTCATCTGGGTTCTTCATTCTAGTTCTCTCTCCTATCTCTTCACCCCTTCTTCTTTCCTAGCCGTTGCAACGGTGAGAATGGAAAGGAGAAAGGAAATTGATGACGAGAGAGGTAAAGTGATTAGGTGAGAGGTGGCCAGAGGAAATCCCATCCGCTGGCCAGTTCTTTCCAGCAGTTACAAATGAATTCCTCTTTCTTCACCTCTATTCAGCTTCTCTTTCCCAACCTCTTGCCCAGAAACGAGGGAGGTCAAGAGAAGGGAAGTAGATGAAAGCTAGACGAGCTGGAATGTCCTTATTGTCCCAGCTTTTCCGTTCACTCTCTATCTCTTCCCCAATCATCTTTACCTGTTGACCCTCTTTCTCTTGCTCTCTCCGTTGGCCCCACAGCTCTAACAGATAGGATAATGATGGAGGAGCTGGTCATCTCCCTCTCACGCGCCTTCCCACGCCATTTCTTCATTCTGAAATAATGGCAAGGACTCTACGTGAGAGAAAGAGATGTCACCCCTTCTCCCTCTCTTATGTTGGCTCTAGAGCTGGCGAAGGCATGAGACGAGCTGAAGCTCCATTGCCTGTCCTTTCCTATCTTCTCTCCCGGTCTTTAAGGAGAGATAAAGGATGTGGATGAAAAGATAATGATGGACGAACGAAGAGAGAAGCCTTGTGAGGGCTGGCCCAGCATTCATCTCTATCCCTCACTCTCTATCCTTCGTCTCCCAAGCCTTTATCCAACACACAGCTACTTGCGGTTGTGGGTAAAGGCGTGGAAAAGAGAAAGGAGTAGCATGAAAGGGTGAATTGCCTTCACCCCATCCAATCACCCCATCCAACAGCTAAAAAGAGAAGCATCTTTCATTTCTGTTCCTACCCCTTTTACGCTAGTGAGAGGCATGTCCTCCACCTTCCCATCCCTTCCTCACTCTTTCCAACCTCTCTGCTTACTCGCGAACAAAGGGGGCGACATGCCTTTCACGTCCTAGCCCAGGGGCGTGCAGGATGCTCAATGTTTTTTGATGTTGAAACTATAGAATTGAACTCTCAAAAAATACTCTATTTTAGATTTTTTAGAATTCTAGATGGTCTCAGCCCAGGAGGGGCCCCTTGATTTTTAGTTTTTCTTTTTTGAATTTGTAGACCTTTTAGAAGCTTTTTAAATGAGTTCTAAAAAAACAAAGTTCTAAAATTCGTACCCCACATATTTCGATAATATTTAGAATTCAATTCAAAAAGTTCTCACAATCGGACCCCGAAGTTTGGAATTTTTAGAATTTTCAGAACTCAATTCTACAAAAACTAAAAGTTCTAAAAATCGGACCCCCGAAAATTGGAATTTTAGAATTATTAAATTTCTAGATGGTCCCAGCCCAGGAGGGGCCCAGCCAGGACGCTTGATTTTTAGATTTTGTTTATATTTTTTTGAATTTTTAGAACTTTTAGAATTTTTAGAACTCAATTCTACAAATTCTACAAATTCTAAAAATCGGACCCCAAAAATTTAGAATTTTTAGAATTTTTAGAACTCAATTCTACAAATTCTAAAAGTTCTAAAAATCGGACCCCCGAAGATTGAAATTTTTAGAATTTTTAGAATTCTAGATGGTCCCAGCCCAGGAGGGGCCCAGCCAGGACCTTTGATTTTTAGAATTTGTAGAATTTTTAGAACTTTTAGAATTTTTAGAATTGAGTTCCAAAAATTCTAAAAATTCTAAAATTCGGACCCCCAAAATTTAGAATTTTTAGAATTTTTAGAACTCAATTCTACAAATTCTAAAAGTTCTAAAAATCGGACCCCCGAAAATTGAAATTTTTAGAATTTTTAGAATTCTAGAGGTCCCAGCCCAGGAGGGGCCCAGCCAGGACCTTTGATTTTTAGATTTTTTTTGAATTTTTAGAACTTTTAGAATTTGTAGAATTGAGTTCTAAAAATTCTAAAAAATCTAAAAGTTCTAAAAGTTCTAAAAATTCTAAAAATCAAAGGTCCTGGCTGGGCCCCTCCTGGGCTGGGACCATCTAGAATTCTAAAAATTCTAAAATTTCAATTTTCGGGGGTCCGATTTTTAGAACTTTTAGAATTTGTAGAATTGAGTTCTAAAAATTATAAAAATTCTAAATTTTGGGGGTCCGAATTTTAGATTTTTTAGAATTTTTGGAACTCAATTCTAAAAATTCTAAAAGTTTTAAAAATTCTACAAATTCTAAAAATCAAAGGTCCTGGCTGGGCCCCTCCTGGGCTGGGACCTCTAGAATTCTAAAAATTCTAAAAGTTCTAAATTTCGGGGGTCCGATTTTTAGAATTTTTAGAATTTGTAGAATTGAGTTCTAAAAATTCTAAAATTCTAAATTTCGGGGGTCCGAATTTTAGAATGTTTAGAATTTTTGGAACTCAATTCTAAAAATTCTAAAAGTTCTAAAAATTCTAAAAATTCTAAAAATCAAAGGTCCTGGCTGGGCCCCTCCTGGGCTGGGACCTCTAGAATTCTAAAAATTCTAAATTTCGGGGGTCCGATTTTTAGAATTTTTAGAACTCAATTCTAAAAATTCTGAAAGTTCTAAAAATTCTAAAAAATCTAAAAATCAAAGGTCCTGGCTGGCCCCTCCTGGGCTGGGACCATCTAGAATTCTAAAAATTCTCTTAACTAAGACTTGGTTATCAAAAGGCGAATGGCCCGTTCACATTATACATAAAGTTCCCTCGTACATCCCCCCTCCCCCAACCCCCTGTGTTCTGTTTTTCAGACCATTGATCTCCCGCAACATTTGGCTCAAGGGCCCCTTTTGCAGAATCACGACCATCCGAGCGTGAAGACAAAAGAGCATTGCAGGCCACTTACAGGATTATCCACAAGACAATCCACCAGGGACAATCCATCCTCCAATCATCCATTACTGGCATAT